CAAAACAAAAACAAGCTAACTTGATAATCTAAAACTTAGATAAATTAAGAGTGTAGGGTTTCTGATACATGATATTGCATTATTAATTAATGCAATATCATGTATTTCATTAATTTTTTAAAAAAAGAGGTTAAAAATGCCATCAGGGGCTGGCCAGTTTGCTCAGTTGGTTAGAGCACTGCCTTGTAATACCAAGGTCAAGGGTTCGGATCCTCATACTGGCCAGCTGCTCAAACACCACCCCCCACTCCCCACCACCAAAAGTCAGGGAATTGACTTTACAGTAATTCTGTGAACATGGTATGGGAGTCTGAAATGGCAAAAATCACTTCTAGGAACGAAGGTATTTATTACAAAAAGAAGAGTTATTTTCTTTTTCTTTTTTTCCTAAAGATGACCGGCAAGGGGATCTCAACCCTTGGCTTGGTGTTGTCAGCACCACATTCAGCCAGTGAGTGAACCGNGTAATATAAGAATTGAAAGTACTTTCTAAGTCTACTAAAAAATTCACTATTTATATACATTAAAAAGATGATCCTGAGACACTTCTGCTTTTAATCTTCCACTTATTACAAGAATATTTACGATTAACAACAAAACCACAAACTACTGAGGTTGAAAAAATAACTTCCTATCAATGACTTCAGCAAAAGAGCTAATGCCATCTAGTGTCATAACAAGGCACTGCCTTTAAAAACCACTGCAGGGAAAAAAAAGAAAATTGAAAATGTTCATTCTTTGGCTTTACTGAGCTTTTTTACTCTGTACCATATAGTACAAATGCACTGTGGAGGAAACAATTTTTCTATTATGGAACTGAAGTTGCCCAAGGTAAATAAGTTTAACTTATCAATATAAACTAACTTTCTAAATTCTAAAAAAAAGTAAAACAAAAATCATTAGCTACATGAACTAGGCTTTTATAATTAATTACATATTAATAAAGCTACAATTAGTTTATAAGCCTTACTTATCTACAGTTTACAACCACTAAACAAGAAATGCTGATAAGTGGCAAGATCCAATGGCGAGTTTGGGCCTTTCTCAGCTCCTCCTCTAAACTATCTGGAAGAGCCCAATGGTTAGCTCAGTTGGTTAGCGTGCAGTGTTACACCACCAAGGTTAAAGTCCAGTCCCTGTACCAGTCAGATGCCAAAACTAACAAACAAACAAACAAAAATTACCTGGAAGAAGTTAACTGGCAAAAAAATGCCAAAGGGCAGAAAATGGGAAGGCAAAACAAAAACAAGCTAACTTGATAATCTAAAACTTAGATAAATTAAGAGTGTAGGGTTT